TAATAAATAGATTAATTTTGTTTCAAAAACATAAATAGGTAGATAAATTTAAAATTTTATTATGAATTATTAACAATTAACAATAAATAACAATGCCAACTACCATGTAGTGTGAAATTATGTTTATCATTCTAAATGGATAGTCATAAATTCGAACTTTAACGGTGAGGCTTAGATTATTTGATCTAAAAATATTTGAGATAGTATATAACATATACTACTTTGTAAATAATTATAAGTATTTTAAAAATAATAAATAACGATGTGTTTAAAAAAAACAATTAATAAGCATAGATAATGGCAAAAGGGCCAATAACAATAACATTTCATATATATGGGCGGTCAAGTAATACGAGTGGATGGGAATTTCTTTGTTGAGTGCCATTGGGCTCTCTCATGCTCAGAGTGCTTGAAGTTGGCAAATTATACCGTGCACCAGGGTGCACAGTGCATTGTACGTCCTGGTCCAAAACGTCGTCGTTTTGACTTTTTTCACTTTACGCGTGTCTGCTGTTAAAAAAAAAATTCATGTTTCGAATGTACATAATTGTATAATAGAAATTAGAAAACACAGAATTTTATACCTGAAAACACATAATTTTTATAGCCGGGTTGGACTTCCATTTGGAAGGTTGTGAGTTCGAGCCTCAGTGGAGACGTTATTAGCTCTTTGTGTTTCAGTAGGTTGAGAAAGTATATGAATAGATACTACATTGTAATAGAGCCAGTAGCATTCAAAAAACAAAACGATGTGCCCTCAAGTTTTCTTCCACTTTGAGTGTCAATAGTTATTGCGTGGACTGGGGTCCACATAGCTGTGTAGATTATGGTAAAAAACGATATCATTTTGTATAAATTTTATTTTTCACGCGACTCATAGTGACATACATTTTTATAACTCATAATGTACATTACTCTAAAGCCTCCAGAAGTTTCATTATTTTAACACATAATGTACATTATTCTAACATATAATGTACATTTATAATGTACGATATTCTGACACATAAGAGCATCTACATCAATGCATATTTCACAGTTTTTAAGGTTAAAAGTGCCAACATGGAGGAGAGAGGGGTGAAGAGAGAAACATTTTGCTCTTCTTGCAAGTGAAGAGTTATTTCTCTTCCCAAGACATGGATGAGAGAGGGGTGGAGAGAGAAGCATTCTGTTTCTGTCAGTTTGCAGCATTCCTTTTGCCTTTTATTATTTTTTTTTTCTTTTTATTCCCAACCTTCCCTCACATTCTCTTTCCTAATCACTCTTACATTCTCCCCCTAATATTCCCAAGTGATAATGTTGCGCTAAAGTACCTTATTCTAACTCATAAAATTTAACGACGTCATTTTAAACTGTGGTCCACAAAATAATTTTCCCTTGGGTTTGATACCCCATAATGTCTTTCCAGTTTGGCGGCAATTAAGAAACTTGTGATTGTCAACTAATTGCCTAAGAGCATCGATATCGGATAAATTTTTACAAGGTTTTTTAGAGTAAATTACACTTTTAGTCCTATGACTATAGGGGGCGTGTTAATTTTGGTACTTGACTTTCAAAATTAACAATTTAGTCCTCTAACTATACGATTTCTAACACATTTGGTCCTTCCGGTCAAATTTGGCCGGAAACGTAAACCTTTTAAAATTATTTATTCATGGGGGCAAAATGGTCCTTTCGAGTCACTTTCTCCTTCTTCCTTGCACCGCTGGCTGGAAACGGAAGAACTGATACAGATTTTTTTATTTTTGTCGTCCAAATGTCGTGTTGGCTTGGGCGGCACATTTTATCCACAACCACAAAGCAGCAGTATGAAGTTTCTGTTAACTAATTGACAAAACAACTTTGCAGTCATCCACTAACTCCATCGTCTTCCTCTGCGGTAGCAAGAACCAGAGAAATTTGGGGCATTTTTGCTCTGGAGATATATTGACAGCATCACAATAAAATTAGCATTTTTGCTCTTCACTGCATGTGGTTATTCAAATCTCTTCTTAGTATTACATATTGCAATGTTTTCATTTAAAAAAAAAAAAAAAAAAAAAAAAAACCCCTAAAATTGAGATTTCAATCTCTGTTGCCAATAAGATAGAAATTTGGGGATTGAAATAGAAATCATAAATATGATTTCATGTTGCCAAATGTTTGGAAATGCTGAGGAATGATTCTGCTAAGATGAGTTGAAGGTGACCATGTATCCATCGTCGTTCACCACTCATGGCTTCTCCGAGGGCCAGAGGATGCTGATTTTTGGTCTTAACTATGCTTCTAACAAAGCCATCTCTGTCGTGGCCCCGCCCTCTGGCAAGCTCGCACCACCAGCGGCCCTATACAGCATCGTTGCAAATTGTTGGACCCATTTTTGTTAACTAGCACCTGTCATTGCTGCAAAGGAAGAAGAACGAAGAAGGAGGAGAAGGGAGAAGAAGAACATGAAAGGATCATTTTGCCCCCACGTATATTTAATTAAAAATTGGTTACGTTTTTCCGGCCAAATTTGACCGGTGATTTGGCCGAGAGGACTAAATGTGTTAAAAATTACATAGTTACTGGACTAAATTGTTAGTTTTGAAAGTCAAGTACTGAAATTTACACGCCCCCTATAGTCATATGACCAAAAGTGTAATTTGCTCAGGTTTTTTATGTTACAATTAGGAGAGAGAGAGAGAGTGAGTGGAGTAAAAAAAGGAAAGAAAACGAAAAAAGAAAACAAAAAGTGATGAATCTGAAACAAAAGCAGATAAAAAAATTTAAAAGTTGATAGCTGTAGACACAGAACATTTGAAGCCGACAAATAAGCTGGTTCATATGTTTTGGGTCTCGTTTGATGAAATTGGGCTAATTATTGATTTATTTGGATTAGTTAAATTGGTCAAATTGTCCGAATTAAATATAAATTAAATAGTAGTAGACTCAGATTATAAGGATGGACTGATCCATATTTGGCCCAACAAGAAAATATTTAAATTAATTATTTAATTTAAATATGTAATAAGATATTCATATATTTAAATTAATTAATTAAATAAATTATTTAATTTGAATATGTGATAAGGTTATGAACCTGGATACAATGGTGGCTAGATACATTGTGGACATGCTCAGAACCGGCCCTGGCCTATAGCATAGGTAATCATTTCTATGATCCCCTCTTGTGCATATTTAATTGAAAAATACTATATGTAATCTCATTTTCTATTCTTAATTTTTATTTTTATACACAAAATTTGGATGTAGACATTTGTATTGTGGCTCACATGCAAAAAAGTAACAGAGTAAAATTTAAGAAGTAAGATTTGAGAGTTCATAGAGTAGAACTCTATTCAATTTGCAACTTAGGCACCTGCTAGGCACCTCTATCCGCAACTTATGCACCATCGTGCCGCATCCGTCCGCAACTTAGGCACCATCGTGCCGCAACTTAAGTACCATCGTGCCGCATTCGTCCGCAACTTAGACACCATCGTACTACATCCGTTCAATTTTTCCAGTGATCATAAGAACCACTTTGTCTTCCATGGTATAGTTATGCCATCCACCTTGCAAGGTGGAACATGATAGAAAAAATACACAATTTATATAATGAATGTTCATAATTTACCTACTGAATGTTCACAATTCAAATTGTGAACATTTAGTCGGTAAATTGTAACATTTATTATATAAAATTGTAAATATTTAATATGTAAATTGTGGATATTTAGTATAGAAAAATTGTAAACATTCAAATATGTAAATTGTAAAGATCCAGTATATAAATTGTGTATTTTTAGATCTGGGTCCACTAAATAATTTGCCGTCCTCCCTGAGTTGCAGAAGAACTTCCTAACTTCTTCAATTATGACGTTCTTTAAAAAAAAAAAAGGTTCAATTATGACGTTATTTTGAGTTTGAGGTTAGGATAGTTATGCTGTGCATCCCTATGCACCATGCATGGTGCATACGGATGCCAAAACGACGTCGTTTTATTAAAAAATGCGCGTCTCTCCTTTAAAAAAAATTCAGGTTCGATTCCCAGCAACAACATTATATTGTTCATTCATTCTGGAATTTTAGTTCATAGATTATAGAATTATAGTTCATTGATTATGGAATTATAGTTCATCGATTATGGAATTGTAGTTCATCGATTCTGAAATTTTAGTTTATAGATTATGGGATTTTAGTTCATTCATTCTGGAATTTTTAGTTCATAGATTAGATTATGGAATTATAGTTCATAGAGTATGGAATTATAGTTCATATTTGTTGCCAGGAATCGAACCTAATTTTTTTTTTTAAAGGGGAGACGCACATTTTATTAAAACGACGTCGTTTTTGCATTCGTATGCACCATGCATGGTGCATACGGATGCACAACATAATTTGCCTTGAGGTTATGAGCGGGTCTGCTCAAGCTTCTGCGTCAATTGGTTTACCTTCTTCATTAATTTGCCCAAAATATGTTATTCTATGGCTGAGCTAATAATTGATCACTCGGTCGGTTTCTGAGCTTCTGGAGATGAGACCGGATTTTTTATCCTAACAAGTTGATTGAATTAAACCAAACACAGGGCGTGTTTAATTCTAGCAGATTTGGCAGCGCATTCATAGTTGGATTTATCATATCATTACCTCGTACAAGTAGAACTCTTTTGTTTTTTTTGGAGTTGTAAGAAAAGGACCTCATAAATTATAAACGGTTCACCAGAAGAAGAAGTTAATGTTTTGGTTCTTGCCTCTTGGCCACGATTTTCCCTAGGCAAACCATTCGTTTCTTACAATGATTTCCCTCTTGAAATTTACGCCCACCAAGTCTCTACTTCCCTACTTTGTGTGTTAAATTTCTCAAGTCCTTCCCATTCTGTAAAATCACCCCCCAAAAAAAAAACTTGGATTCTTGGAGCCTTAGAGGTTCCTAGAACCAATCCGTGCACATTTTCTTGTAGAAATTTGTAAGTGACAATGAATTTCGAGGTTGAGAAAAGCGGCGAATCTTTTGGTCGCTGTTCGGATAACCTCAGGATGCAGATTAAGGATTCCGCCGCCGCCGGCTGCGAGTCCGCAAGAATCGGAGACCGGCTGTCGCGCCTGATGACTGAGATGACGGCCGCACAAGGCGAAATCCTCGGCCTGGAAGCGCAGCTGGCCGCCGCCGCTGCGGTGGAAACTGCTCTCACCAAAGAGAAGATCAAGTCGGAAAAACTCGAGAGGATCGTGGACGAGCTGAAGGAGACTAATCTACAGTTGAGAGCGGCGGCCACGAACCGGGAGGAGGAGATCCAGAATCTGGAGAAATCGCTGGTGGAGAAAGACGCCCTGGTGGAGAGATTAAACCTGGAACTTGGACACACAAAGGAGCTCAACATCGCGGAAATGAAGAAATTGAAAGAACAAATGGAACTGCAAGAAACCCAGAACCGGGACCAGAGCCGCTACATCAGTTTACTGGAGACGGAGGTGAAGCAATTAATGGGGGAATCCGGCAAAGCCCGCGACGAAGTCGCAACTCTGAACCACAACATCGCGAAGTTAAAAGCAGAACTAGATGAAATCAAAAGTCAGGCCGATAGGATTCTGGAAGCTGAGGTCGAGAACGCGTTGCTGAAAGTGGAGCTCCATAAATGGCGATCAAAAGCCGCCGCCGCAGAAGCCGCAGAAGAACGATACAAGAGCGAGATATTCGCCCTCAATCGTGCTCTTCAGCTAGCCGCCTCATCACACCAACAACCCAGCAGCAGGAACAGGTTTCTGGTAGAATCTGAACACAAGAAACAAGGGAAAATCGACGACATTAACAATGTCACGATTTCAAGAAAGGAATACGAGGAGAAAGTAGGGAAATTGGAGAGAGAGTTGATGACAGCTACGAATAAAATCAGGGAGATGAGGACAAGGGCGGAGCAGGCTATAAGCAGGGCGGAGGCGGCGGAGAAGGCTAAAGCAGAGCTTGAGGATAAGATAAAGCGAAGAAAGGAAAAGGAGAAACAAAAAAAGGAAATCTTTAAGAATTTGAGGGAGCAAATCGATTCCTCCTCCATAGAAGCAGCAGAAAGTCCAGATTTCGCAGTGATAAACACTCCAGCAATTCAAACTCTGAGTAATGTTCTCGAAATCCCATTATAGATACTCAAAGCTCCCATCCAATCTTTATTGTTTCCTATTATACATACTATGAGATCAGAGTTTCATTTCTCCCTAATGTTCTATCGAGTGGGGTGTGAACGCTAGATTGAAGATTCAATCTCTTGGGAGAAGAGTTTCATTCCTCCCTAACTTCCAATTAATAAAGTATACCAATTGTTTGCAGGGGAAATAAAGGGAGAAAATAAATATTCAAATTTTATTTTTAATGTTAATATGTGGTGCTAGGCAGTGCCTCACCTCATTGTCATTGTTCTTACTATTGTTATTATTATTGTGTTCTAGAAGTTTTAATATTTAAGTGAGTTTATCGTGTAATAAAATTTTAGTTACGTTCATCTATATTATCATGTATTTTCTTATATTTATTTTGTTAAATGAAGTGGTAATACTCTTGTAATGTATTTTATTTTTTGAATAAAATGAAAGGTTCCATTGTGTTATTTATCTTGTATGCGTGTGATTGTCTCATCCTCATTCATGCGAAGCTCTTTGAATTCTGACTGGACCAGTTGCAGTTTTGACTGTTTTACCGATGTAGTTCCTTCGTAAGTAGAGTCAAGAGTCTCCCAAGCACCTTTAGCTGAAGGAATACCTGCAACAATTGAGAACTGGCTTTCATGCATAAGAGAATAAATTGTGTCTAAAGCCATATCATTGTTTCCAGCGTTGGTTATCTCTGTTTGAGTCCACTCAGTCTCAGGCTTAGATATTTCTGTTCCGTCAGTGCTGGAACTGGGTTTGGTGGGATGTGTCCAACCTGCCACCACAGATCGCCACATGGCTTCACCTTGAGCTTTTAGATGCGTACGGGTGCGAGCCTTCCAATATGCGTAGTTGTCGCTAGTCAACTGGGGAATGACTTTAGTTCGATCCATTCTATAACATTTAACACCCCGGGAGATCAAACAAATAGGCAATAAACAGATAAATAAAAAGAGCCGCTGAAGAGATGAGTTCAAGAGGCACGAATTCCCCATATCGTTAGACTAATAAATTAAGTCTACAGGCTCTGATACCAATTGAAATTGCACCGTGACACTTGAAAACCAAAAGCAATGTATTTTTACTTGTTATTTAAGTTATGCACCAGTTACGTTCATTAATTAAACTCGTTTAAGCAAGTGTAAATAATAACTGCAGAAAGCATAAAGTAATGTAAAAACACAAAGTAATTGTTACGCAGTTCGGAGCTCCTTCTCCTACGTCTGCGGGGCAACCCACGTCAGCCCAATCCACTATAGATGTTCACCAAAAGGAGTATTACAAGAGGTAAATATAGATGGCCTCCAGCCTTTACCACTACCACTCTTTCTAACACCTATCCAGGATTGACACACGAATACCCGAACAATCTTCACAAGATACTTCAGCAATACCACGTACTAATCATGTAGTACAGATTAAATATTCTTAAGAATTAAACATAGAACATATTAAAAATAGGAAGCTTTGTAAATCAGATGTGTGCTCAGTATATTAATCTCAAAAATCAGCAATGTCATTCTTTCGAACAGCATCCTTTTATAGCAGATATTGAGCTTCATTTTGTGATCCTTAAATGTAGCCTTTTTCCTTGTTCGAATAAACCTCAGCCACGTTCTTTTTATTTCTTTGAAATTTTCATACGTAGACTTCATTCTCCAAGACATACCATCCACACATTTAAATATCACATGGTCCAAAATAGAATTAACTCTAACAACTCTAATGAAATTCTTTAATTAAAAACTAATAAAGCTACTACTAAATAAAATAGCCAATAAGTTTAATGTGTAAATAATTTTACACTGATGGTGAGTCTCCCGAACGTCACAGTACAGTGTCTCACGAGTCATTGTCCATAAAATGGATTGAATCAAGATGTAAATGTAATATTTATATTAGAAAATATAATATTACTTATGAACAAGTTTATTATTACTTATAAGTGAAATTAAAGTGTAATACTTACTACTTTTAAAAAAAAGTGTAATAATTACTTATTTTCGTCTTTGCTCTTCGACTATTCAACTTTCTATTCGGCCGCCGCCTCCGTGAAGCAAGTGGAACGGAGGTGGTGTCCAATCGTCTTTCCCCTGCCGCTATCTCCACTGTAGACAATGTCCGCCTTTATTGTCTTCTCTGCTTTCACCATTTTTTCTTTCATTCTCCGCCTTCGCACGGTTATTTCTCTTTACTTTGTTTTACTGGTTTAATTTTGTTGGCCATTTCTGTATTTTTCTCTCGTTGTTTTGACGAGCTACTTCCTCTCGTTTACTTGGCGAGTTCTTTTTTCGTAAAGCGTGAAACAATATAACTGGGCATGGCGTATGTAAATCTATCCTGGGTGACAAATATGACAATGAAAAAGATACTCTTCTGAACTATGATATGCAGTTCTGTCCGATGGAGATATTGTCAACGAAAAGAAGAATGAAAATAGATACTCAGGTGGTGCGCAAGACTATTCCCCCCAGTGTCAATCTTGTGTACGTTTGACCAAATCATTAAAGAAGCTTTAAGTTCTTCCAAAGAATCCAACTTCAAAATTTTGAAACAGTCTGCGACTCAAGTTTTCTTTAGCATTGCTCTGGAAGTTGTTTTTATGTCTGACTGTAAAGAATGTTTAATCATTCCATCGATCTTTATTGTAAACGTTTCAGCCTATGATTAATTAATTAGATTCTTTATTGTCAAAAAACAAAAAAAAAAAAAGTGTAATACTTATAACAAAAAATGTGATACTTTTAAAGAAATAAAAATAAAACAAAAAATAATAATTAAAAACTAATTAATAATAAAACAACAATAACAATAAATTTTAAAAATATTTTAGAGTTAAAGTAAATAGCACAAAATACTTACCCTTATAAGTCAGGCATTCACAAGTAATCAGTTAAGACGACACAAATAAGTTATCTTAACACCTTTCTGTAACCATTTAATCAAATTAGTTAACACAATCAACTATAAGTTAATTCTCAAACACCCATATAAAATCTTAGATTCTTCATTACACTTCAAGCAATGATTTAATTTCACGAGTCTTGTGATGAGTTAATTATATTCTTCAATAAAAGAAACCATTGTGCTCATCCTTAGGGGTGTCATGAGGGCCCGCTCGTCCCACTGTGGACTTTTTATTTACAAGCTGGCCCACGAAGTCCGCATGCTAGGATTATGCAACTCTAACCTACCTCATGCAGCGGCAGGCCAACTTCTAATTTTTTTAAAAATTATTATATATATTATTATTCTATATTCTAATAATTTAACTTAAATACTACCCCCGTATTAGATTTTTTTTGTGTGTTTATAAATTAAAATTTTTTAATTTTAATGTTTAGAAATGATACTGCTAATTATACGCAAGCAATATAAAATAAACTCGAGACCAATCGAAGCAAGTAGAGATTTTATTGATCACGGTGAAGGCCCTAAGTACAATCTACTTGGTTGCTCTGAGTACCGACTGACTGCGGTCGGGATTCTCTAGTAACAACCTATCGATCGTCCAAAAGTCCCCCACACTGTAGCTACTGTGGGTATTTATAGCCGTTATGCCGGGGACAGGGTTCCAGCCGTTCGGCATGTCCTCCACGTAGCCACCACGTGTCATCCTCCCGGGTGCCCTGCCTGTCGATGTAGAGAGCCGCCACGTGTCCTTCGTCAGCTCTCTCGCCAAAGGGCTACCGCTCGGTGGTTGACATCGTCGTTCGGGCAACTCCCGGTCGGACCCCGACCAGGTTCTTCACAAGGAGCCCGACCTGTTACCTGCAAAGACAAAGAGAAAAGGACAAAGGCTTCTCGGTCGTGGTGAAGCTATGTCGGTCGGGATATTCCCTACCAAGAGCCCCCCAGCCCGGGCCTTTTTGATCGTCCGGGAAAAAATGGGTCGGGATGAAGAAGCCCAACCGTCGGCCACTAAACCGACCGGCCAGCTGTCATTCCCCTCCTCGCCACGTGTCGGCCACTGCCGGCCTCTGCGACTGCAACCGTCACCTCGGAGTCAGCGCTGGTCGTGTCACGCAAGTGGATGATTTTCCCGCCCAAACGCCCTCCTATAAATAGGCCCCTAAGGCCTTCATTTGAACTTTCCTCAATCTTCTGAAGCAATCGGTACCCTCAGAGAGTCCCGAGCATCAGTTCATCGAACCAGTCGAGCAAAGCCAAGCTTCAAGTTCTCTCCTTCGAGCAAAGTACCAGCAATCGGTAAGCTCTTGATCCCTCAGCTTTTACTTTGTTTTTAGCTTTGCGTAGGAATAGGATAGGACTAACTTTGAGCTAACCTCCCGACCCTGTATTAACCCCGACCGACCTTTAGGTAGAAAACATGTCGGATTCGGATAGCCAGAACGCCTCGATCGCAGACTACGACGACGCAATCGAGCACAGCAGCGAGGAGGTGGACATCATGTCCTACTCCCCAGAGGTCGAACAACGACCACAGCCCATTCCCGACCGAGCCCCCGAGCCAGCAGGGTCATCAGGTTCGTCAGGGACCTCGGGGTCGAGCTCCAGTGGGTCGGGGAGCGAGGCAACGTCCACGAGCGGACGAAGCCTCCCGGACGAAGGCGTTAGGGAAACGCCTACGAGGGTAATAGGGGATTACCCTCGAGCCGAGCCTGAGGGCGGAGACCGGGCCGACGAAGCCGAAGCGGATGAAGAGGACCCGACCGGGCCGGCGCCACCGAGCGGGGACGGGTTTGAGTTCCTCAACAGCGAGAGCGTTGAAGGCCAGAAGAGCTTGCTGACAAAAGGAGAAGCAAGCAAAATTGCGGCAACTCTTACTGGTCGGGTCGAGTTCGATACCAGCAGACAGCTCGGAAGTATCATCGAGCGGCACCAAGGGAAATGGATCGGGCTGCATTACGATTCGCTAATGGCCCCGATCACATTCCCCTTTTCCAGCCTCCTTACAACATTCTTGGGCTACTACCAAGTTATGCCCGGGCAGATTTGCCCGAACGCGCATCGGATTATCGCATGCTTTCCCCAGATCTGCAATCGGCACAACGTATCCTGTACGATGGAGCTCTTCAACTTTGTCTACCAAGTGAAGGTGCTAGCGGCCGCGTATGGGGGTGGATTTCTGATGATACAATCCCGAGCGGATAGATGCTCGATCGAAGGGCTGCCCGGGAACAACCGAGGGTGGAAGAACCGGATCTTCTCAGTGAAGTATGATCCGTGGATCCTCCCGGTCGAGAGGGTCTGGAGCCAGCGTTTCCGGAAACAAGTCATCCCAAGCGAGACCCAAGTCCTTATAGACGCCGTCTCTAAAATCTCGGGCGAAATCTACGAGTATCGAA